GTACTTAACAAACTCTACAATATGAACAGTTTAAATCATAAAAATAAGATCATAATACACCTTAAACGAAAATACCACAGTCACTACTGTGTTTTGAGCACAGCAGGACCCTGTTCCTTTTTAATCCCATGACATTAGTCCTATAACTATTGCTCCGAACAAATATAATTACGTTAAATCTTGCCTCCGTATTAATCCAATCTCCTGCTCTATCACCCAAGACATCCACGCGGTACTTCTCCAAATCGACAGGATGTCATTCTCTTGACCCATTAATACCTCAACCCAACTATACAAAGAATAAATAAAACTTTTTGATGGCCCACATTTCAAACTAATCATCATTCATGTTTTCATTTAAAAAGTTTAAAAATTTGTTTAAAATTGGCTATTACATAAACAAATTAAGGTTAAATATATTTTTTAAAACTCAATGATTTTCCGAACTAGACTCAGGCCTCGTTTGGGAACGGACTAATTTAGTAATTTTTTAGCTATTTGACTAAAATATGAGCCAAAATAAATTAGTATGTTTGGGATAACTTTTTGACTTTTTACGAAAAGATGTGTAAAAAGTAGAGAGAAAAGAGAATTTTTAACTTTTTGGTATGAGTTGTTGGCTTTTTAGCTAATTTAATAACTTTTTGACTAAAGAAAAGGTTCCCAAACGAGGCCTCAATAAATTTATTTATACCATATTAAAAATATGCTACTCAAGTTCCACTTAATTTTTTTTTTTGGAGGGATAAATTTAGCATTAATATGTTAGTAATAGTTAAATTATAACATAGATCAATATCGTTTCATAGACGCCAACTTGAAATCTTATCCTGCTGCTTATGTGCCCTCTCCATAACTATTTAGACTAAAAGCAATAAACACAAAAAAAAGTTCCACTTGATTGACTTGGTCTATAGCTCAAGTGATTATAAAAGGATACTTTGGTGTGAGTGAGGTAAGGTTTAGTCAATGATTGAACATCAATCTATTGTACTCACCTAACTCTACTAATTTATTAACACTTTACCACATGACAAAAAGAAGTAAAATAAAAGTTTGATTTAATTAAAACTGGTATGTCTCCGAAAAATAAAATAAAAAAACATACCGGCTTTTTTACAACAACCCAAATTAATGAAATGTTAGAATCATAAAGAAGCAAATCATTATATATTCAAATTGGGAAATGATATGATACACAATATATTGAAATTAGGAAATGATATGATACACACTCAAATGTGTATTATATGCACTTTAATTATGATTTTGTGATATTTAATTATAATTTATTATTGTGTTAGTTATGATTCATTATGATATTAGTTATGGAGAAATATTTGGAACCCCCTTTGGAGATGACCCCCATACCCCTAAAATGATCCTGATTCTCCATATATATATATGGGGCCCACTCGTATATGTGTGGGGTGGGGTCCACATCATAAGTGATCCAGATTTGTGGAGGTCTCAATCCTTGCTCATTAGTTATGACATTATTTTGATTGTGATTCAAAAACTCTTTGGTTGTATCTTATGTAATGTTTAGTTATAACTCAATTTTTTTAGTTATGACTCTCATATGATTGAGTTATGATATTTATGCTAATTAAATACACAAATATCATAACTTGCCTATGGTATACACCCTTTTGAGGGTTACAACCGTTGTGGTAAGTGTGACTGATTGTGATGTTAATTATGACATTATTTTAGTTATGATCTAAAAGCTCATTGGTTATACCTTATGTAGTGTTGAGTTATAACTCAAATTTTTTTTTTTTTTTTAAGTTATGACTTCTATAGGATTCAGTTACAATTTTTGTGATAATCAAATCTACAAATATCCTAACTTGCATATGGTACCCAACTTTTTGCAGGTTAGGACATTTGTGGTCTTTGGTTATAATCTATTGTGATGTTAGTTCTGAGTCATTATGATATTGTGGGTGTTTGAGAAGTTGCTATTTTAGTAGGTTATTTTAGTTTTTGGCTATTTTAGTAGGATAAAATTTTTGTGTTTAGATTGATTATTGGATTTTTTTGTAGTTAGATGTGATATTTGTGAGAGAAAAAAAAACGATTATGGATTTGATATGACATTTTGTCTTATTAACTATTTTAACCTAATTTGTCTTTTTGTAGATTTTAGCCTAAAAAAGACTAAAACAGCCCTTGCCAAACACCACCATTGATTATAATATTTTTTTAGTTATGATTCAAAAGTCTTTACTTAAAGCATCTCTAACGGTTCACCAAATTTTTCATCAAATCTGAGTAAAAAAATTACCATTTTCTCAATTTGATACAGACGGCTCCAACGGTTCACTTTTTATCAAATCTGTTCCGGGACAACCGGTTGATCGACCGACTGGTCGACCGGTAAGAGGAAAATATATATATATTTTTTGAATTGTTTGAACCAATAAAGTTGAACTGTTTGAACTTTTTAGTGGTGGACCGGTTGGTCCACCGGTAAGGCAATTTTTTTTTTTGAACCTATAAATTTGAACTGTTTGAACCTTTTCGTGGTTGACCGGTTGGTCAACCGGCCGGTCAACCGGCCGGACAACCGGCTGGTTGACCGGTTCCTCTCCTTCAACGGTCGCGCACAGTAATTTGATGAAATCTGTACGCTGTTCTCACTTTGATGAATTTTTTGGTGAATTCTCAATTTGATACCAATTTGGTGCAACCGTTGGAGTACTAAACAGTAACTTTTTCACCAAAATTTAAGTTTGATGTCAAGTTTGGTGAACCGTTAGAGATGGTCTTATACCTTATATGGTGTTGGTTATAAGTCTTTTTTTTTTCTTTTCTTTTTTTCTTTTTTTGTGACTCTTATAGAATTGAGTTATGACTTGGTAATAGGGATGGCAATTTGAAACCGGACCGACGGTGACCTGACCCCCCAACCCCGAATTCAGCGGTTATTCACCGAAAAATATCCCCTACGGGCCGGGGACGGTATTTAAAAATTCATTCCCGATGATATCCGGGCCGGGGACGGGGATATGTGTTTCAGAACCGGCCCCGGCCCGGCCCCCCGGCCCCGGCCCGCATGGTCCCCGAGCTGAAATTACCCTTTTGTCCCTGGATATATATATGCTTGATTTTTGTTTAGGTTTGACACAGACACACACATTCAACCTCCCACACACGGCGCTCCTCCATCTCTCTCCCCCTCGCCACTCACTCACGCCGCTCCTCTCTCTCTCTCTCTCTCTCTCTCTCGCCACTACTGGTCTGTTCCTCTCTCTTCCCTCCGTCACCGCCGCGGCTCCCTCCGTCACCGGCGATCCTCCCTCCGTCACTCAAAGCCTCTCACACTCACTCACGCCGCTCCTCTCTCTCTCTCTCGCCACTGGTCTGTCCCTCTCTCTTCTCTCCGTCACCGCCGCGCCTCCCTCTGTCACCGGCGATCACCGGCGATCCTCCTTCCGTCACCACCGCGCCTCCCATCTCTGTTTAGGTATCTCTCTCTCTCTCTCTCTCAGCTGGATTTGTGCTTTTTTATAGATCTATTTTTTTTTAATCTATTTTATAGATCTGTCTATAGATCTGTTTTTTTTTTGAATCTATTTTATAGATCTGTTTTTTTTTTAATCTATTTTATAGATCTGTCCCTTGATTGCACGATTATGTTTTCTTACACGATTATATGTTATCTATGTCAACTTTGTAGAATAAATTAGAAAACAAATCCCTCCTCAACTTCTCCAAATTCTGATCATGCTGTCAAGTATTTGAAACCAAAAAGACCAACAAATCTTGAATAGCTCTTGTATGTCAGTGGTTGTAAAAAAATAAAAATGATTTTGTATTGTTTTATACCACGATAAAAAATACAAATCTTGAATAGTCTCATTACAGCAAGATAAAATTATGTATTGTTTCAACACTATATTGTCTGACTTTAGTTGAATTCATAGAGGCAGTGAAGTATGTTATTTTACATGCAAAATTTGGGATTCTAATTATTCAGGAAAGAAAAAAAAAATTCTGCCCATGGAATCTGAAAAGGAAAAAAGAAACAAAAAGTTTGATTTTTTTTTGTGTGTAATCTAGTCAAATTATGGCATCAAAAGGGATTTTTTTGGTTTTAGAGACTACACTTTTTTTTTTTTTTTTTTTTTTTTTTTTTTTTTTTTTTTGTGTAATCTAGTCAAATTATGGCATCAAAAGGGATTTTTTTGGTTTTAGAGACTACACTTTGCTGTTTACACTTAAAATTATAGCTTTAAAAGTGGTATCTTGAATTGGCAGGAGGCATTGAATTTCTCTATGACTTGAGTTCAGTAGATTGTCTCCTAGTATTATGTTATCTTAACTGAATATCAGACTTAAAAGCGATCCAAAAACAAATAGAATAGGTGAGAAATTACCTCATTTTTCTTGCAATGCTCCAGTGTCACTTCTTCAACTGCAGCAGAGAGTTTTGCATTGATCTTTTCCATTTCGTCAAGCTCTTTCATTAATGGCTATAGGGAACCAAATATTTCAAAATCAGAAATATTGAATTTGATACAAGACCCCAGTATGGTCATATTGCCAAAGAGGATTAGATGAGTATTGAATAATGTATAAACATGGCTCTATGTCACTATGTGAACTACTGAATATAATTGTATAATTTAATGCCCGCATTAACTATAACTTAAAGGCTTCATGTTTCTTTGCTTTCTAATTTGAAATTTGTTTTTTAACATTGTCAGGTATAAGATATCTCTTTGTTGATATCAGTAAATTTTATTGCTTTGTGCCATGAGCCTATCATTTCAATTAAATGCTCTTTTGACATTTTTGAATTTTTTGTCTTGTGCTGATTTCTGCACTTTGAAAGCGATATCTATCTAATATTATTTTCTCTGTTTAATCTGTAAATCATTGATATTTGGCTCACTACTGTTTGTTGAGGTGAAATTTCTACCTGACTTGTAACAATTGAAGAGCAAAACATAATCCAAAGAGAAATTTGTTTAATCATGTCATAGTTTGTTTAAAAGATGATGAGTACTTAATTTATTTATATTAATTCAATCCATATTATTTTTATAAAGGTTAAAAATGTCAGATGTTAACTCTGAAGCACCAGTTAACTCTGAAGCACCCGTTAACTCTCAAGTACCATTTGAGAGTGATGCGTCACAACATTCATCGCCAGCTATGAACGCACCTACGAACTCACCGTCTCCCCTCTCTAATCAACACGTTATTGATTTAGAAGAGTCTAATACTACTTGTGGAGGAACTAAAAGAAAACCAAGTATTGTGTGGGAACATTTTAAAAAACAAGTCAATGGGGTGTGGAAGGCAATATGTAATTATTGTAATAAGCATCTTGGAGGTGATTCAAAAAATGGAACTAGGCATTTGCATGATCACCATAAGAGTTGTACTAGGAAAAAAGTGATGGACATGAGGCAAAAAGTGTTAACTAACAACTTTAGTAGAGAGATTCCAAAAATGAATTCTTATATCTTTGATCAAGATTTTGCTAGGAAAGAGTTGTCACATGCCATAATCTTGCATGAATATCCCCTCTCTATCGTAGACCATGTTGGTTTTAAACGATATTCAGCAGCACTTCAACCATTGTTTAAAGTGCCTTCCCGAAATACGATAAAGAGTGATATTTTAAAGATTTATGATTATGAGAGGGTGAAGACATTGAGTTTGGTGGAGCATAATAAAAGTAGGGTGGCAATCACAACTGATATGTGGACTGCTAGCAATCAAAAGAAAGGATTCATGGCTGTCACCGCACACTTTATTGATGATTCATGGACATTGCAAAGTCGCATTTTGAGGTATATTTTTGTAAATTTGCAAATCATTTAAAAATTCTATCTTATTCAGTTCAATTTGCATATTAATACTTGTTTATGAACATCATATTTTAGGTTTATTTATGTTCCATGTCCACACACAAAAGAAGTTCTTTGTGATACTTTGCTTGAGTGTATGATGGACTGGAAAATTTTCTTGTGTGCTGCTGGACACATGTTTTGGTTGTGTTATTTTGTTGCTACAGGATGCTTTGTGTGTGGGTTGTGTATGTATGGGCTGCTGAATTAATGTTTATTAATATTTTGCTTTAAAATGTTTATTGATATTTATTGATTTAAATGGATGTTGTTACAGATTTATGGATGTTGCTACAGATTTATTGATGTTGCTACAGATGATGTTTTTTAAATGGATGTTTATTGATATTTATTGATCTAATTAATTAAAAAAATGATATTCCAACTGATGGATGTTGTTACAGATTTATAGATGTTTAATTAATTAAAAAATGAAGCTATTAGGGTTAATATTGATAAATTTCAAAATTTATACATCCAGTATTGAAGGGTGATTGAGAATGTTTATTAATGTTTATAGAGTTTTATATATATAAAAAAAAAATCGGGGATTTTTCGAGGTCGGGGATCCCCGATCCCCGATCGGGGGCGGGGATGGGGCCGGGATAGGGGTCCCCGTCGGGGATCGGGGACGGGGACAGGGGGGAGTATTACTTTCGGGGATCGGGGACGGGGGTAGTCCCCGGCCCCGCCCCGCCCCGTTGCCATTCCTACTTGGTAATAATCAGATCCACAAATATATAAACTTATATATTTAAAGGTGTGTACCATAGCATTATCAATAACTTTAATAATAATGCTCTTGTTTATAATTGTGTATGGATTAGAGATTTTAAAGGATACTTATGGACGGAAAAGAAAATTATAACAAACAAACAAATAAATGATTTTTTATTTCATTCCTTCTTACAAAAAGAAAATATATAAACCCAGAAAAAATGTACTTATCCAAAAAGTGGGTGTATGGTGGGAGAAAAAATTATTTACCCGTCTCAATAATACTGTAATATCACCATCCAATAATTATAACCTTCCATTTTTCTGTAAGTGCAAAAAATATTCCGCTATGTACATGTGTAGTTAGTGAATTGAGGTGGGTAAGTAATTATATTTATATCCTATACAGTGAGGCCACCTTCTTATGTATTGTTTTATAATTAGTTAGTGATGCATATCAATGATAGCGTGATAGGACCGTTATGTTGGTGGAGACCAATAAAAAATGAAAATAAAGAAATAAATAAAAATAAAAATAAAAATAAAAGACAAACAGTCATATGTGTCTTTGTAATTGGTTTCAAGTTGCAGTGTTCCCACTTTGGTGGGCGAGAAACGTTAAATCAAAATAAAATTGACAAGGAAAAAAGGATACCACTCGGGTCACTCACTCTATTTAATGTCATGTCATCTATGTACAGTTATACATGTATTGTTGATCTAAAACCAAAAGCAGAAAGAAAACAAGAAGGAAATTTGAACACGGAGAGAAGAAAAAGTGATGAAAGTGATGATCGTCCAGTTGTTGTGGTGGTTGTTGTTATTGCCGCTATGCGTAAGGGCACAAACATCATCAGGAGCAGCAGCAGAAACAACAGTGGTGATGCATGGCTGCCCTGAGAAGTGCGGCAACATCAGCGTTCCCTACCCTTTCGGCATAGAAGTACCAGACCTCCGATGTTCCATGAACGACAACTTCACTCTACAATGCAACAATTCAAAATCCAAATCCTCTCCCAAGCTCATGCTCGGTGACTTTCAGATACTGAATGTATCAGTGGAGGAAAGCACGGTTACGGTCTTGACATCAATGGCGTACTATTGTTACAACGTTTCGTGGGATGGATTTGACTATTCTGTTGGATGAGCTTGACGGGATACACATTCTCTGCTACACAAAACAGATTCACTGCGATTGGTTGGGACGCCGAGGCATACATGGGGGACTCATCTGGCACACGCTTTGGAAGCGGGTATATCTCCTTGTGCTACCATCAGGTTAGCTATCCAACTAGGAGCATGATCATCCCCTACTACGAAGAGTCCTCTTTACTTTAACACCAAAAAAAAAAAAAAAAATGTCCCTTTTTCTCCCATTTCACATTCTCTTTTTTATTTTATGCTAAAAAATCTTCTTTATCCAATCAAAAATTGCTTTAATGGTGTTTCAATTTTTTTTGGGTGTATATATATAGAGATTTTTTGGGAAGAAGTTAAAAGGTCATTAAAAAAGTTTTTTTTTTTTTTTTAAAAAATCATATTAAAAATTAAAAAAAAAACAAACATAGATTTCTTCATTTCTCTCTACTTTTTGGAATTTTAAAAAAAAAAAATCAAAAAAATCATTTCCAAACATTTTCTATACATTCACCTCATATTTTAAGTAAAAAAACTTACTAAAAAAGCTGTTAACATATAATATACTATACAGTGCACTTGTAGGCTGTAAAGAGAGCTCACCTTTGTAGCTGTAAAGAGAGCTCACCCACTACCACTCACCTTCAACCTTCAGCTTTGACAGAAGCCTTTATATTGTTTTAATGTATATTTGTATGCTTTCGGTGCTCCATTGTCCCATTGTCTCCTTCTCCTCTCTATAAAGAGAGAGAGCTCATTCTCTTGTAAACACACAATAACAGATAGTGAATATACAAATCTTTCATTCCAGTCTCTCTCTTTTCTCTCTCTCTCCTTAACAATCTTTCATGGTATCAGAGCGCAGTAATACAATTCTGGCATTCTTCAATTTTGGTACTTAGTCCCGTACACAGTGGAACTACACCAACCAGCTCGGAATCTCCTTACGATTCCAACGGCACCAATCCCGTCACCAGAAACGGTGTCACGGGCTCTCACGCGCCGCCTCTTTGCTCGGCGCGTCTCTGCTTCCGTTGCCACGCTCACATGCGCCTTCCACTCTGCCTTTTCGTGCGCCGTGCCTGCTACCGTGCACCCGCGTGCGCCATCCGTCTATCGTGAGCCGCGCGTGCGCCGTTCCGCTATCGTGCACCCGCGTGCGCCGTTCCGCTATTGTGCACCCGCGTGCGCCATTCTGCTACTATACGCCGCAAGCCCTCTCTGCTACCGTGCGCCGCACGCCCTATCTGCTAACGTGCGCCGCTGACATCATTTTCCATCCTGCTGACATCATCTCTACACAGCCCACATTTCCTAACTATTTTCGGCCTTCCGGACTCACTGGTACACTCTGTTTTACCTAATTTTGCTCCTACAGGTCTATTCCTATCAATTTAGCCCTACTTAACTATTATTATGGATCGTCATGATGCCTCCCATCCCATTTTCGTTATTTTGAATGGTTCCAACTATGTTCTATGGGCCCAAGCCATGTCTTCCTTCCTCAAAGGAAAGAAGCTCTGGCGAATTACCACCGGGGACATGACCCAACCGATGAAAGGCACTGCTGAAACCACTGTTTCTCCTGCTACTCCTACATATGAAGATCGTCTTGAGGAATGGGACAGTAAGAATTACCAAATCATTACCTGGTTTCGAAATACCTCTGTTACGTCTATCAGTCTTCAGTTTGGTCGCTTTCAGCTTGACTCTGTCACTACTCCTGCAAAAGACATCTGGGATTTTTTGAAAGAATGATACCAGACCACTGGTCTTGCTCATCAATATCAACTTCAGAGCCAACTTCATCGGATGCGCCAAGAATCTAGTTAGTCCATCAATGACTTCCTTTCTCAAATGTACTCCGTTTGGGACCAGCTTGCTCTTTCCGAACCGACTTGGCCTCACCGAGAAGATGCTGTTTTATTTACTGTTTATCGTAATCAGCAAAGGTTGGTGCACTTTTTCATGGCTCTCACTCCATCCTTTGAGCCCGTACGTGCCTCTCTCCTTCATCGCCATCTCTTGCCCACTCTGGAACAAGCTATTTCTGAGTTGCTATCCGAGGAGACTCGTCTTGGTACTCTCCAAACTCATCATGTGGACTCTATTCTTGCCACTCCTCCGTACCGGCCATCATTCACCCAGCGGACCACTGCCTGCCTCTACTGTCAGAATCGGGGCCTTCCTTCCACACATCTCCTGGTCAATTGCCCCGTCAGAACCTGCCGATACTGCAACAAACTTAGTCCTGGTCATCTGCAACAGGATTGTTTTCGCAATCCATCCCGCTCATCCTCTAACAGCCACTCTTCTCGCGGTGGTTCTCCTCGGGGGAGCTTTCATCGTTCCCGGAATCAGTCTCATTCTGGGAATTAGTCTCATCACATTGCTGCTGCTGCTGCCGCTGAGGGTCTCTCCGAGTCTCCTGCTCTGTCTACCCCTCTCTTTTCTCCAACGAATGTCGAGGCCATGCTCAAACACCTTCTCCCCCCAACTGGTACACCTCCTCATACTGCTTTGTCTGTAATTCCAGGTAACTCTTCTTGGTATTTTGACTCTACCTGTTGTAATCATATGACCTCCAGTTCAACTATATTTTCTTCCATCTCTTCATCTCCTCATATTCCCTCAATTCAAACTGCTGATGGTTCTCTCATGACTGTCCGTCATATTGGTACTGTTTCCACATCTTCTTTATCTTTACCTCAAGTTTATCATATCCCTGCTCTCACTTTAAACCTTATCTCCATTGGTCAATTATGTGAACTTGGTCTAACTGTCACCTTTTCTGCTACTCATTGTTTGGTGCAGGACCCTCAGACGAGGCAGACTAAGCACGGACGTCTCTATGAGCTCATTCACCTTCATGTTCCTGACTCTCCTCAGATCGCTGCTCCTTCATCTGCTTCCTCATTATCTCCTTTTCATCTTTGGCATTGTCGCTTAGGGCATATTTCTATTAATCACTTAAAGTCTTTGGTTTCTAGTGGACAATTGGGTCATGTAATTCCAGATACTTTCGATTGTATACTCTGTCAACTTGCCAAACAACTTGTTTTATCCTTCAATAAAAGTACTTCTGTTTCCTGTGCACCTTTTGATCTTATACATTCGGATATTTGGGGCCCCTCCCCTACTACTACTATGGGGGGATCTCGTTATTTTGTTGTTTTTATTGATGATTTTTCACGGTTTACTTGGATTTTTCTCATGAAAACTCGGTCTGAACTTAAAACCCTTTATTATCGATTTGCCCAAATGATCCACACCCAATTTTCCAAAACCATCAAACTTTTTCGCTCTGACAATGCTATGAAATATTGGGATTCCGATTTTCTTTCTTTTCTTCAGCGTCATGGTACACTGCCTCATCGTTCCTGTGCTGGCACGTCCCAGCAAAATGGCCGTGCTGAACGGAAACATAGGCATATTCTTGACACTACTCGCGCTCTCCTTCTCTCTTCTTCCTGCACT